TGAGCCTTAGTTGGGCCCAGGTTTAGAAGCTGTAGGAGCTAGGCCTCTTGTTCTCTTCGGCAAGTGGGATTGTGAGAAGCCACTGCATATTGTACCACAGCCATTACCGTTCGGCACCTAGGTCTTGGGCAATATTTCAGAATTCCTTCAGCAGTGCCGATCGGCAAGGAGGAAAAAATCAAGTTTTGGGTTCGTGTGGTCACGTCTTTTATAATAGCTGCCGTTTGGCAGGGTTGGAAGTTCGAGTGCACCTTCAGCTAAATCACACGAGAGTTTTGTAAGGGGCTGGGCAATCGGCGGGGTCTGGGTTCCAAGGACGGGTTTTCGAGGCCTTGGCCATTTATAGCAGAGCTGCCGATCGGTGAGGCTAAGCTGGGTTTCGTGAAGTAGCCTCCATTTTCAGTCCTCCGTTTTCTTTCCACACAGCCCTTGCCGTTCGGCAAGGGTGTGTATTGTTATTGAGCTGGCCCTCGAGCTGGGTTCGGAAGGGCGGCTGGGCTATTTGCACCGGAGAGAAGAGTGCCCAGGAGTTGTGATAGTTGTGAATCCCGTTGTGAGTTCGGCAAGGAGGTTTGGAAGGCTGGTGTGAGCCTGCCGATCGGCAGGAGTTGTCTGGAGGGGAATTCTGTGGCAGCTCGAATCGGGTGGTGAGCTTCTCTTCATGTTTTGCGCGGGACTTGCCGTTCGGCAGTATTAAATCCTTCGGTGTTGGATCTTTTCGGCAAGGACCAACGTTGGATTTCGCTAGGCGCAGAGCTAGGAATTGGAGCTGGTCCCTTTTTGCTGAAGCTAGAACTCTGTTGTTCGTCGGGGCTACCTTTTTGGTCACGAGGTACCGTTCGGCAGAGTTTGTGAATGGAGATTTTTGGGTGCCAAATTTCTTTCGAACAACCCTTGCCGTTTGGCAAGGGTTCCTTGGAGGGAAATTTCTGGGGCTTTTTGAATCAGGTGGTCTGAGCAGTGGAGCTGTCGGTAAAGTTGGTTTGGCTAAGGACCAAACAGCACGTTCTTCCTTGTTCCCAGCGCGAACCTGCCGATCGGCAGGGGTGGATTGGAAAGGTTTCGTCACGCGTCCACCCGTGCCTCCGCATCAGAACTTGTGATGGTCATCGGGCTGGGCTCTAGGAATAAAATAAGCTGATTTGCTGAGTTCCGTATGTTGCTTATCCCCCTTCCGAATGTTCCTTGCCGTTTGGTAAGCTTGACCTTGAGCCTTGATTTTTGGCAAGTGTTTAGGTTAGCTCTCTTTGAATCCCCCTTTTCCTTGCTCAACCACCTTAATTTTGGCAGGGAGGGGGTCTGTGATCTTCCATCTCTTATGCAGGGGTAAAGTGGGATTATGGTGTTTGTGATTTCCTTGCGCCCCCTTTGTGTTTGCACAGCCCTTGCCGTTCGGCAAGGGTGTGTCTTCTAGAGGTTGGGCCTTCGGTGAGCTTGAGTAGGACGTGTCGTGGTGGGAAGCTGAGGTCAGCTCTTGTTGCGGTAAGGTGAGAAGGTTGAGCACTACAGCTTCGGTAAATGACTTGGGCAAGGTTAAAGTTGTGTGACCCCGTTCGGCAAGGCCAGCTGGGATACCTTCTGATATGTTTGCTAATCTTTGGCAGATTTGGCGTGAATCTCGGAGCTGAGGGACTAGAGAGTGGAGCTGGGCCGACATTTGGGCCTAAAAAATGAGTTCAACGGTTTGAGTTTTGGCTATTTTTCCCTTTGCTCAGCCCTTTCAAATATTTTTTTTTTTTTTTTGGTGGTGCTTATGT